CTTTACATTAATTGTGTTGGTTTAATTTAAGTAATACGGTTCAATCAATTATATGACTTATATTATTTGTAACATTCTAGAAAGGGTCCAAATTTAAATGACAACTTGTATCAGTAGATAAAAAGAATGACTCTATTTTAATATAGTAGACTAGATTATGACCCGCCCTCCGGAGGGCGGGTATATATTTTGTTTTATATTTTTTAAAATTAATTTTTATATTTATATTTTTGTAATTATATTTTCTGTAATTATATTTCGGTAAAATATATATTAAATAATTAGTAAGAAATTTTGATAATTATATTGAATTTGTGATGTTATATATAACTATACACTTGTGTTGTAGTCATAAAGCTCGTAACTATTGGAGTTGAAAGGACGGATATATTATTGTTTTTATTTTTTTAGTAATTCAAAAAGTTTAATTTATATATATATGTATATATATTTGATATTAATTAAATTTAATATAATTTTTGCAAACTATTATTGAATATGTCAAAATGTTCTCCCTGATCATTGTTCTGCAACTATTTATTAGGTTAATTGATGATCTTAAAATTGTAATTAAGAGAACTTTTTTCACAGTTGATCAATTGTATAACCCTTTTTCATAGAAGAAAATATATAGACGATGTGATTCGATGAAGATTTGAAGATTGCAATTGAATTTCTGGTATAAAAACGTAAATCAATAATTGAGTCACCCCTACAAAAAGAAAGGTAATTGTTTTTATGTTATACAAAATTAATTGTAGTTAGAGTTGGTAGATAATAAAACGCATTTATGAAATAATCAATTTTTTAGAAGTAGGTCTAATGGCAATTTAGATTATGACCCGTCATCTGAAAGAGTGGATATATTTTTTGTTTTATTTTTTAAAATTTTTTTACTTTTAATATTTTTTTTTTGTAGCTATACTTGTGTTTAAAATCTAAATATAAAAATTAAATTTCTAAAAAAAAATTAAAACAAAAATTTAAAAATGAAGTTTCTAAAAAAATAAATAAAACAAAAGTTATACCCGTCATAACCTAATGACCAAGAAATAGTCCGGTTCAACGTCCAGATTATGATAAAAAAAATATTAGTTAAACTACTTACAATATATATAGTTCATTTCCACTATTTTTTGTAGTGAAAATAATATTAATGAAAGTATAGTATCAAAATTATTGTTTCCAAACGACATATTGGACTTCGCTTACGTTTTGTAACTAAGAGTAATTGACTTTTTTTATATATATTGAAAGTAGTGGGTTCCTATTATTTTGGAATAAATAGGTAACATTACAAAATATGCATACATCTTAAAGGAAGTTAATTTTTACTTACAGTTATAAAATTTTATTTTAAAGTTTTTTGTTGGAGACAACATGTATCAACTGGTCATGATCTAAAATTAATAGTATTGATATCAAAGATAGTTACGTTATATATTTAGATGCTATAGGAAATTTTGATGCAGTTTGATTATTCCACAAATAACTATTTATTTATTTGTAAACATAATTATTGATACTATGAATTTAGATGTTATTAATTGTTTTTGATAATATATATATAGAAAGGTATCACTTATCAGGCGAAATCAAAGCATATATTAGAGGAATTGCTTACTAACAATGATTGTAGTCTAATATGTTTTTCTTTGAATAGATATATAATTAATGTATACGTGATCTTTTCTAGCAATTAGAATAATGCATCCGAAATTATAGGACGTAAAAGAAGGGGTGGTTGTAAAATGTCAAGTCAAGTCTCGTTATATACTGGCAGTTAATTTTGAAACATAAACTATAATAATTGGACACAACTAATATCAATTGGTCACACTGCTGTTTTAATAGAATAGATTAAGCGGCCATTTAATGTTAACGACAATAGAATCACAGTCGTTTAAAAGTTAGATTTTCTAAGAAAATTCCCAAATCGAAAATCTAAGAACCCTAAACCCAATCGCAGTCGTTTTACAAGTGATAATAAATCCAACACAATAACACAAAGATAGAAAAGATTAATACAAGAGTTAGAAGAGGTTAAATTCCGATGAGCTTATCACGTGGAGACCCTTTATCTGAAGCAACAATTGCAGGAAACAGTCTGTTTTGATTTCACAGCACAAACATCAATGACAGTCTCATATTATACTTGTCTTAATGTTGTTCTTGAGCTGGTGGTGTCCTAATATGGTTCTGTTTCTGGGATGGCTTTCATCAATATCTATAGTGAAGAGCCAATGTACAATGGAGAACTGCATGTTCAGATATTTGGGTTGTCTTAATAAAAGCTTGACACAAATCAAGTATCTGCTAATGCGTTTCTGATCTTTTCAGAGATTCTCATCAGGAGCATTCGAAACAGTGGAATCCAAAACAAGATTTCATCTTCAAGTCCTTTGGCACATCTTGTAGAAGAAAGCGGTTCAGGTTAAGTACAACATTGTTTCTGTCATATATACAATGTCTTATGTACAACTATTCCAGAGAAGCTCTTGTCTATTTGGCTCCAAGCTCATCATCATGAACACAAGAAGGATTTATGGGAGTGCATGTCAAACGGATTCAGTATTTTGAAAGCATGTATCTTCGTGGGATCTTCATTCCAAATTTCAAAGTGGATTTCTTTGATGACGTTTTGTTCATTGTTGCGTCTTGTTCGATGACACAATGTCTCAGTACCAACACTCCTTTGATTACTTACACCTGGAACATGGAGGAGTACAAACAATTCGTGTTGTCTTCTGGCGTTTGGTGCCTTGTTTTGATTTTTCTATGGCTTGTGGTTTCTTGGGAAAAGAGGATTTCAAACTTATTCGAATTCTTTCACGTTTGAAAAAAAGAGATGGAATCAATTTGAGGAGAGGTCTGAAAAAAATTATAATTTTAAAACGACTGTGTTTCTGTAGTCGTTAACATTAAACGGCAGTTTAACGCTGATTAATATTGATTAAAGTCATACCTAAATTGGCTTAGTCAAGGTAAGTTTGATATTTTTTAGATTAATGAAGAGTTGGTATATTTTTTGGCAAATTTGAGTAAGTTCAGTATTTAAATGCCCATTTTCTCATAGAACAATGTATTATTTGTAAATAATAATAGGCCTAATATGATATTTATTATTAGCCTATCACAACTCAGGATGTTACACATAGATTTATCCAGTTTATGTTAGGTTATCTATGTTATCAGATTGTGAGACTTATGTTTGGTTTTATTTTGATTTGAATTTCGGTTTTATTGAATTTTTTTGGTTCTTGAATACTTCTTTGTTTGGTCAATTTATTCGATTCTTTGATTTTCTTAAATAACTTAATCAATCCAAGCCAAAATAGACCGGTTCTTAAGAGTATCGTAAATCTCTAGAATAAAAACCGAAAACTGAAAAAACCGAGATGACACCGAAGCGAATTTCGAATGTCGTGGGCTACTAGTCTCCATATTGATATTATTCAAGATAAAAGATATGATGGGAAAATATTGATATTCATATTTCCAAACAATTCTCATTTATACTTTTATCCATATTCCAAATAGTACCAAAATGTACTTCAGTTTTAATAATATAGATAATAAAAAATGTAAATTATTATTTGTAAGTAATAATTATATGCTATATAATTATTTTATATATATTACTTGCATACGATTACCCAAGTTAGGTTATGTTTGTTTACTTCTGTTTTTTTACAATCAGATTACTGTTTGTTAATCAGATTGTGAGACTTATGTTTGGTTGTATTTTGATTTTAATGATTCTGGTTGTATTTTGAGTTGAACTTCGGTTGTATTGAATTTTTTTTTTCATTCTTTTGGATACTTTTATCTTTGGTAAACTTATTTGGTTCTTTGATTTTCTAAAAGAACTGAATCGATCAGAGCTAAAATAGACCGTTTCTTAAGAGTATCATAAATCTCTAGAATAAAAACCGAAAACTGAAAAAGCCGAGATGACATCGAACCGAATGTCAAATGTCCTGGGCTAACTAGTCTCCATATTCATATTATTCAAGATAAAATATATGATGTGAAGCTATCTTAGCGTACTATATAAGCTTGTGTTTACTGGTTGGACAATGCATGTGTGTGTTTTAGTACCATACATCATGGGAAAGTGGTTTTAAAAAATGTACTACTTGGAAAGAAACCCTCTAACTCACTCTAATGGTGGTTCCAAAGGAAATGAGGTAACCCTTTCCAAACAGTTTTGTACTAGTACTACATAGTCTAAATTGTGGAGCTTGGATCAGAATGGAAAATTCGTGCGAAGGAGAACAGCTAATACAGTTACATGAATTGTCTTTCTTTCGTTTTTGGTGTATTGACTTGTGAGTGGAAAAGAGCTGCTGGTTACTGCAAATGTAGAAGAAACCGACCTTGTTGTATAGCTGTATCAGATCTTCCATCTTTTGCAAACTCTGCCACCAATGCCGCTGGTAGAAGCAAGTAATGTACTAGTAGAGACACAATACATAGAACCTGAAGGGATCTCAGATGTTGAAATACAGCTTCCTGAGACACAAAATGATGCAAAGAGGAGCCAACAAGAGATCGCAGAAGCGTCTGTACATGTCCTATTATGATAGACTGGATCCAAATTAAAACTCAATATGGTTAGAGAACTGGCCAGCCTCCGGCTGCTTCTGGAAACCAGCTCCTAAACCAAAGAAAACGGTGGGGTGAAAAACGCAGAACAAACTTGCCAATAACACTCAGATAGTTGAGGCTGAAATATGCTAAACCCAAGAGAGTGTCAGTAAACTTCCTGCTGCAAACTTTGAAAACTCCTCAGTGTAGACACCTTTTGAGTTTGAGAAGCCCAAACGCAGCTTCAGGAAAGTTTGAAGCCAATCTATAGAACCCACCTGCTGTTTGAAAATCCTGTAGAACCACCATGCTTAATTAGAATGCCTTTATTGATTATCTCACTATAGTTGTTGGCTTTTGCAGCAAAAACAACTTGTTCTTCTAGTTTCATGGTTACATTACTTTCTTAGGTTTAAAACTTTTTAATGTTCATATGAATCTGTGATTATTTTACAATGGTCTTGTTCATCATTTACATCTATGCTCGTTTCTTCTTAAACTTTCTAAGGCATAGTTTGAAGATTGCCACAAACAAAATGGCAGAGTGCGAGCTTAGATTGAATCATGTTTGAACCAAGACGTGTCTACTTCAAATAGTATCTTTCACATATATGATCTCAAGTTGATAAACTTCTCTCAAAAGCTTCAGATCTACGATACCTATTCTTCCTATGAACATGAAACTGAAGTGAAGAAAGCTTATGAGAAACCATCGACCAAATCATATCCACAGAGTCTCCAGGCTGCGAAGGAAACCGATACTCAAAGTACCTAGCAACTTCTTTTAGTCTCTCCCATTTCTTCTTCCACTGATCCTCTGTTATCCCTCTGAGGAGATTCACCAAGAGCCCTTTCTTCACAGCTTCAGAAGAGTGAACAAACACCGAGAAACCAGAATAGTCTAGTGTATCCTCAAATGGAAGCTCAATCTGATCACTGATGATGACCGGAACACAATGGCTAACGATGGAGTCGAAAAGACGGTTGGAGGAAGGCGTGTCACCTGCAATATTGAGACAAAACTTGGAGGAAGCCATGCCTTTACCGGTTTGTTTAGTCCCGTTGCCTCTTACGGTTCCAAATGCAAAATGAATGTCTTTCTCATCTTTAAGAAGGTTATACAGTTCTTGGCGAATAGTCCCACCCTGCAACAAAACATTTGACATGATTGAGATGTGTTCTAGCTAGGCATGCGATTATTAACCGAATCAAACAGAAAAGTTCGGATTTCGGTTCAGTTCGGTTAAGAGGTTAGGCTTGATTCGGCAACTTTGAAAATAAATATTTGGTTTTCAGTTCGGGAATCGGTTAGTTCGGTTTTCTAAAAGAAAATTAACCAAACTATACCAATCTTAACCAACAGAACTAATCAAGATAACCAAACTTAACCAAAATATCCGAATTTTAACCAAAATTTAACCGAATTCTAAAACTTCAGTAGAAACTTTTGAAACCAAAACCGAACTAAACCAAACCTTCTCGTTCAATACGGGCAGATTTAGACCGAATCGAACTAACCGACCCGAAAAACCCGAGCTAACCGAACCCGCAGGCCTAGTAGCGATACAGCAAAACTTTTGGACAAGAAAACACTTACATCTTTTCTGTAGATAGCTCCTTGGAAGTACGCCAAAACAGGACGCTTCTCAAACGGAGCAGACTCATTGCTATTCACAGTCTTAACAACATGCACATAAGGAGCAATGACATCTTTCTCAAGATTAGCAACGGAGGAAGGATACCTACCAAAGTCCGAGAGAACAAACATTGCAGAACCAAGCGAGTTTCTTGCATAGAGCAAACTATTCGGATGGTGAGCTACTATCAAATGATCTCTCCCATCAAATCTTTTCCACTCGTCACGACTTTTCAAGAACTCAACCAATCTCTCCTGCAACAATCTATCAACACTAACGGTCTCGTTGCCACTGATCTTAGACTTTCTATTGTAACTCAACGATGAGAAGAAAGGCACGAAGACAACGTCAGCTTCTTTCGAACTCTTCACTCTGATTGCATTACATGGTCTCTTAACCTCAGGTGTCTCTGAAGCTAATAAGTCAAGTGTAAGCCAATACTCTACACTGTGTTGACGATTCAACCCACCAGGATAAGATGGGACCGTGCTAACGTTTCTGACACTAGGCCAAGTCTCTGATCCTTTCTTGCGCCAGTTTAATAGTCCGAAGTGAAACTCGGAGGGGAGATCGTACATGAATACCTTTAACACACCACATGAGACCGGTTTAGCATCGGTTTGGTCGTTCTTGATGTCTGTTCTTGGGAGAATCAGCTTGCGGACAAGGCTTGAAGTGAAAGAAGAGTCGTTGCGTTGGAGGAAGAAGAGAGAAGAGACGATGAAGAGTAGCGTGGAGAGAGTTATCGTGTAAAAGAGGAGTTTTGAGGAAAGCATGCTCTTTTCCGACATCTTTCGAACCTCAAATCATTCAGACAGAACCAAATGGTCTTTGTGGGTTACTCGATTTGTGGACAAAGTTTTCAGCTTTATCGATGAAGAGAGAAGAGTTAGTACCTGATGAACTAGGGCAGCTGAGGGGAACAGAGACTTTGATGCATGAGTTTCTCTGATTCTATCCGAAAAATTGAATCCAGGAATCAGATGACTTTTGGACATCAAAGATTTGGCCTACGATCTCTACAGATCTTCAAAGTAGTGACTTTTTTTGGGGGGGGGGGGGTATTGAAGTGAATGTTTTTTTTTTCCTGGTATCGAGTCTGTTGACTTCTTTCCTCTGTTTTGGACAATTTGGTCAATTACCTTTTTTCCGGCGGATAATTTGGTAAAAGCCTAATTATTTTATTTTCTTTAATAATTGTATAATATGATTTAAAATATAAATCGATTAAATCGAAAAAAATGATTATGATATAGTTAGTTAATAATATTATGAAATAAATATTTTCCTTCCTTTGCTTCTAATTTTGAAAATGAAAAAAATAAGATATACTATTTAAAAATTAGAGCCCAAAATATATATTATGTTTTAATAACAAATAATTTTTTCAAATAGTCTATTTTTAAGTTTTTGTCACAAAAAAATGTTGTCAAAGACGAAAAATAATCAAAAGAGATTCCATTAAATAGACAAAAGACCTTTGTGTTATTTGCTTTATAAATATATAAATAAAAAATAAAAAATTAGATATATATTTTTTAATATTTTCGAATTATATGTTTTCAGATTCACACTTCTTTGTGTGTAAATTTTTTTGAATATTTTTATTTGCTTTTTAAAAATTAAAAAATTAATTTTGAAACTTTTTCAAATTTTTCTTTTAATTTTTAATTTTTGAATATTTTAAACTCTACTTCCAAAACTCCACCCTTTAACTTTAAACAAAAAGGTCTAAGTTTAATTAAACTTAGGGGTATAAAAGTATATTTATTATTCAATAAAATCTTTTTTTGGTCATTTTCTATCTTAAATATTCTTTTTGTGAAATAAACTAAAAAAAAAGATATCATGTGGAATTTAACTTTAGGAAATTTGATTTCTAATCATATAAATTAAAAATATTGTAAAAGGTAAGTATAATTATGGTTTTTGGTAAAAAAGCTGGATAAACCAAAAACTATTAGTATATAAACCAAACAAAACCAAACCAAAATAGATATAATTAAAATATAGTATTTAATTTTTATAAATTGAAATATCAAAAAAAAAATTGAACGAAATTGATATCCGTATTAAACATCCGTGATACAAAAATAACATATACAACTATTAATATATATGTTAAATATATAATTTTATGTAAGTATTTTTGTAAAAGATAGTTATAAAATATTTTATAAAGATAACTAGGTGTTTTGCCCGCACGTGCGGGATTAATTTTCTTTAATCAATTAAAAATCATCAAAATAAATGATTATTTGCATCTAAAAATTTTGACTTAAAACATTAAACTTTTTTAGATGATAAAGTTATTCACAAATAAAAAAAAAATCTATTTTTCTCTTTAAAACTTTGAAAAATCTAAAGTCTATTTCATTTTTTCGTAATTGATATAAAAAATAGAAATCTATCTTTTAATTTGAAAAATTGAATCGATAAATATACATTCGAAAATTGATCTTACAGAAAGAATAATATTAATTTGGATAATAATACAATATATTTAAATTTATTTTTGTCAAACACATATTTTCTTTATTTTTGAATGAATTTTTTTATTTTATTATGATTAATTCATGTTTAATATTTAATTTTATAAAATATAAAAATAATTTTAATTTAACGTGTGAGTTTAGAGGTGAAAAATAACTTCACAAATATACATCATTATATTATATTATTATATTATTTTAATTTGAAAATAATTACGTATTATCATATTTTCAATTTTCTCTTTTTCAATTATATACAATTAAAAATTTTACTTTATGAATATTTATTTATGTGTTTTCTGTTTTCAAATTTCTTTTATTAAAATATATTTTTCGGAAAACAACATAATATATATAGGAATTATCTTTTTTCTTTTTAAATATATATTTAGATTATGGATAATTTTTATCATTATTATGAATTTAAATCCTTTATCTAATCAAATAAATATCAATTTTGTTTTTATTTTATGTCTAATTTATATATTTTATTCATTAAGGGTATAAACGATATTAACCACTCTAACTTTTAACGTGAGAGCTCCGTTGCTAAAAATCACTTCGCAAATAATAGTATAGATAAAATATAAAAATAAATTTAATTTAACTTGTGAGTTTAGAGGTGAAAAATAACTTCACAAATATACATCATTATATTATATTATTATATTATTTTAATTTGAAAATAATTACGTATTATCATATTTTCATTTTTTTTCTTTTCAATTATATACAGTTAAAAATTTTACTTTATGAATATTTATTTATGTGTTTTTTGTTTTCGAATTTCTTTTATTAAAATATATTTTCCGGATAACAACATAATATATATATGAATTATCTTTTTTCTTTTTAAATATATATTTAGATTATGGATAATTCTTATCATTATTATGAATTTAAATCATTTATCTAATCAAATAAATATCAATTTCGTTTTTATTTTATGTCTAATTTAAGGGTATAAACGATATTAACCACTCTAACTTTTAACTTGAGAGCTCCGTTGCGAAAAATCACTTCGCAAATAATAGTATAGATTTTGGTCGAAACCCAAATTACGACTCACCATGTAAATTGGATGGTCGAAACCCAAATCTAGATTAATCAATCATAGATAATGTAGTTTTTAACAGATATCGAACTCAAGTTCCATGTGGATTCACGCTAAACCCCCATGATTACCACCATACTATCATCATTTGGTTATGTAATTGTTTTTCTGTATATTAATCCTTATCGTTACATAATTTAAATGCATAAATAATAGATTTGTTTTTCTTATTAAGATAATAGTTTAGAGCTACTGAATATCCAAATATTTGATAAACCCTTTTGTCAATAAAAGAAGTTACAAATTTCACTTAATGAATGTGCAAGGCCCAAGCTCAAAGTGGTACGAAGTTACTCGATGACACAGACACAGACACAGACAGAGAGAATATTAAAAGCCCAATAGTCGTTTTAACATATCCTATATCACCAAAAGGAGATGTAAAACAAAAGTGACATGTTGAACAAAAAAAAAAAAAAAAAAGAAAGACAATTTTCCATGAATCTGTGGTACACTTAGAAGGTGAGAAAAAATATATTTTTAATGAAAAATTGTCTCTGATTACCGTTCTTCAACACGCCTCTCTTGAGATAAAATGTTGAAGGAAGGCTAATAAAAAAGGAGAAGGCAAACGATGATCATGACGATTCTCCTATTATAGAGGTTGAGACAGTATCTTCTTAGATACCCGAATTCCTACCTGCCAAATTAATATTGAAGGAAGGCTAATAAAAAGGGAGGAGGCAAACGAGGATTATGACGATTCTCCTTTTACAGAGATTGAGACAGTACCTCCTTAGATACCTGAATTCCTACCTGCCAAATTAATGTATTATGGGTCGATAATGGTAGTGTTAGTGACCAATGATGAAGTCTTAAGGATCAAATGGATTCTGAAATCTATAGATTACGAGCGTATAGAAGGATCCTCTCAGCTTTGTATACTGAAATGGAAGGTTTACTTTGAGCAGTCTCATGTATGAGAGGCATAAGGATAACTTTGATACAGTTTAAGACGGACTGCTCTGACCTAGTGGACATGACTACTAACTCGGAGGATTAGCCGACTTTCAGGACAAAGATCGAAAACTCGGAGGATTAGCCGACTTTCAGGACAAAGATCGAAGTGTTCCAAAGATTACATGAAGATTTTGAGGATGTGAGCATATCTCATATTCTCCGAAGTAGGAATGGTCAGGTGACGCGCTAGCAAAAGAAACAAGGACTAGAGGATATACATTTTCCCATATAGATCAGATCCGACCAGACGAATATGTTCCTCGAAGAATCGGATCGACTGACCACTACTTGATATAATTTAGATGGGCGGTTGACAAAGAAAAACACAAGTGACATAATCATCTAAATAAATTAAAATTAGGAGTGGACGTTCGGGTACTCATTTAGATTCGATTCGAATCTATTTGAGTTTCGGGTTCCATAGATTAGAGATTTAAGCTTTATTCGGGATTTTATAAATTTTGGTTCGGGTTTACTTTTAAATTATTTTTAACGTTTTAAAATTTTTATATACTTAAATCTCTAAAATTCTAAAAATAAAATAATATATAGCATATAAGTTTGAGTAATGTATGTCAAAATACATAAACTTAACATAAAAATTAGTTATGCATGAATATTTGGATGGAAAATATTTTTTTAAATATTCTTGGTGTTTTGAATATTGTTTAACTACTATAGATATTTAATTTTGACTATTGGTATATATTTAAAATACTTTGGAAAACTTTCAAAATAACTTATACATTTCGGATATATTTTTGAATATTAAATCTAAAACAGCTATACAAATCTGATTCGGATATATTCGAATATCCTTTCAGTTCAGATCAAACTCAGTTTTCTAGATATCAAATTTTAATTCTATTTCAGGTATTTTATTAGCTCGGTTCTGGTTGCATATTCCTTTTTTGTGTATGATTTGCTTTGTTTGGTTACTCTACAATTTTGTTATTCAGTAAGATATGTTTTACAGTCTTTTTTATTGAATTAAACAAGATTATTTTTGATGAACCCACAAGGTTAATTTCTGGAATTAAATAAGGAATATCAAATAAGGTTGTCTTGAACTAAAGACCGTTGTTATATTTAATGGAAAAAGGAATACAGGAGCAAGTGACAGACAGAGAAACACTGAAAAAGTAGATTTGATGTTTAGCTTCCCAAATATTAATTAGCTTTTGAATAACTGTAATTAGTTGTTTAATAATCATTGTGTGCCCTCTCTCTGTCTCACATATTATTCGTCTTTGATTTATGATTCATTTTTGCAGCTAGTTTCAACATTTGATCTGCCCAAAAAAAAACCCTCCTATGTAATACTCGATGGTCATTGTTTTATAGTCATCTACAATTTTCATTGATGCTTGTACTTTACCATTATGCCTTTGGAAATTAATAAAAGCAGACAAAAATCAAACATAAGACTATAAATAAATTTTGTTAATCTCGGATATTGATCAACAGTTTATGAAGAAAAAGATAAATATTAAACTGAATAAGTTGATTTAAGGGGATTATAAGATTCTTAACTTCACAAGTAGGATATTGTTGGTGAGAAACCTAGTATTTTTTGTATAATTCCTCTTTTTTCTCTTTCGTTCTCTCTCGAGTTCATATACTTATATGACTCCATTTTAAAATAAAAACACTCTTAATTTCAAATTAAGTAATAAAATTAACTCTATAGTATGATTCTGACTAACGATTAATAGGAAGACTATAGCTTTTCATACGTTAATTGTTGGAAAGACGACATATTTCTACACTAGAACTATCATATAGTAATAAATAAACATAATCTATCAACCTCGTCGTAATTACACACTATTTAGGTATAACAACATATTTCCACACATGATAAAAGTTGAAAACCTATTTCCCCATAAACTTTGAGGGACAAACTAATATAATAAATAGCGATTTAAAATTAATTAGTGTTCCCTAAACCTTAAACTTAACCTAATCTGAACCAAAAATGATATGATTACGACCCGATTAGAGAATATAAACCAGGTTAAACCATCATAATACATTTGGATACCCAAGACCCGACTTAAGTAAAATTCAAAACCTAAAAACGTAAATCCCCACTCTTTCGATCCTTAATCAGATCTGCGTATGCGTCAGGTTGTACTGATACAAGCTGGTTTTTCTATCGGTTCATATCATAAACCAATTTAACCAAACCAGTTCTGGGAAAAACGAGTTTCGAACTTTTATCGTGTGTGAAAATAAATTGTTATGTTTAAAAGATGTGTAATTACGACAAGATTGAATTATTATGTACATTTATTACTATATGATGGTTCTGGTGTGGAAGTAAGTTGTATTTTTTTAATTGTTACATAAATTTAATTTATACTGGAAATGGTCAATGAAAAATTTGGTCAGTTTTCTTTTCAAAAATATAAGCCTAACTTTTTCTTTGGGGTGTGATTCTTATACATAAATAGAGATTTTTTAACTTTACATAAATAGAGTTGAAGTATAAAAAACATTTTCCTGATTATTAGGCGAAAAATAAAACCAAACTTGTCGTCAAAGATTGATTAAGAACTGATCTTTTACTTTGTTTATTCATTTGACAAATCAACTTCGTGACATTCTTCCGTGATCTGCGGCTTTTAATACCTCAATTATGTGTTTCCTTATAGTATAATCCGTAATTATGACTTCTTAATACTATTATAAAAAATTTGTTGTGTTTTCCGTTGGTCGGTTAGCCGGTGAGGTACCAAAGCGAAAAATGGTACGTAGAAGCTAAATTTCCACGGTTTAAATCAGGTAGTGAGCTCTATAATTCTGTGTACAATTATAATCAATTCATCTTTCACCTTTTCGTTTGTATTAGTAACGTGTATAGCACTAAGACCGGTGCACAGAAGCTTCATCGGATTCGGACATGCGCTTTCATCGGATTCGGACATGCGCTTCCCGCTTCAGAATCGGAATCGGAACCTTATGTAAGCTTGCGGAATTTCGATTCCAAAACACTTCTAAAATATCATATATAAAAACACATTGAAAGCTTACGTTTCCACTTTAGAATCACGCTTCTAATTTTAAAAATACAATATTATATATAAATAAATAAAAGATAAAATATTTTTATTTTTATAATAATATATATAGTGATAATATATATATGTAAATACTAATATTAATACTATAAATCATATGTATGCACTATTTTTATTAGATATATATATATATATATATATATTCAAATCTTGTGTTCCAATTATTTATTAAATGTAAAAAATAACTAATTGGTAATATTTGTTTATAAACTTAATTTATTCGTATTTTCACGATTATAATATGCAATCATTTAAAATTATGATAAATGAATAAATGTTTTATTTTAAAATAGAATCATAAAATTCTTAGTTATAAGTTTTATAAAATTTTCTATATATATATATATATATATGTATATTTGGATATACGCTTCCAACACGTTTCCGCTTCCTAATTTTTTTAAAAATCTCGATTCCGCGCTTCCATACGATTCCGATTCCACGCTTCCGCTTCCGTTTCCATATAACATAGTCAACACCCTATTTCACATTTATTACCATTTCACCTCATTTTTTTTTCTACTACCTATTAATTCAACACCATCATCAATTTTTACCTCTATATTAGTTTTGTTGAATATAATTCAACACCCTAACAATTACTTTTATTCCATATTTATCTTAAAATAAAACATATTTTGATTATTATTTTTTCATTCACTTAAAATTTTATTAAATATATTAATATTTTTAGAGAGTAATGATAACATTCTTATAAAATCAAATTTTTATATGTCCAAATTTAATAAACCATGTCTCTGTTTATAAAGCACAAAAAAATAAGAATTTTGATATAATAAATTGGCATAAAGTAATTGATTTGAAATTCTTGGGATGAAATAAAAATCCTAAAAATTCTACCAACCAATTAAACATATACACTTGTACCAACCTTTTATTTTTTTATTATTTGTGAAAATAAAAAGTTTATATTCACTCCTTTTTGTTCGCATGAATCATAACTATTTCTATTTCACTAGCTCGGATTCGAACAAATTATTTATATGGGCTCCATTTACTTTTGTTTCAACATGTTAAACAAATTCAACACCCAAAACTCTATGTTCTTTTTTCTTGGTTTTCAACAGCTCTATTACAATTATTAAACAGTTGAAAATTTTACTCAACAGCTTCATCGCACATAATCTAAAGACATCTCTAACCAATAATGTTATTTTTAGTGTTATTTAACACTAAAAAACTGTTGTCCAACTATAACACCAAACTTCACAGTAAATTATCTTATAATACTATCTATATTTATCTTCTTATTTATTTTTATTTAATTATATATTTTATCAATAGAATAGAAAATAATGTTTTAGTAAAGTAAACAGTATAAAACCAAATTTAATATAAATTTATAATGTTACACTAAAATAATATGATTTTTGGAATTGAATTAGAGAAGTTTTAATGTAAAAATCACAATAAATAGAATTTTGTAATTGGGTTGAAGATGTCCTTAGCAGATTCATCCACTTGAATATATATTTTAAACAGTATTTTTTTTGTCAACTTATTTCCGATAGATACTTAATTACTACTTACAGTGCAACTAATTCTATGGTATAATTTTATCTGCATTTGTAAAGCTTAGCGTAAAACAAGATTCTTAAGTCACTTTTCAAATTTTCTGTGATTCCAAATTTAGCTTAGCAAATTATAAACACTGTTGATTGACCTGAACAGGGTCTATACGTATTCCAACTTTTTTAGTTGGCTGAATTCCAAGCTGAAATCAAGATTAATCTCCAAATTTATGGAAATTGTTTTTTTTTTATGGTTACTTAAGGCATCTAGAAATGATCATGCGCACCTCATGATGAATCAGTTTTTATGTGTCTCACATAAATTTGTAAAATAATATTTGTGATTTAGATCTCTGTATTATTTTTTTGTATTTTGTATTATTTCATGCTGTAACGCTTTTACCCATATTTAATATCTATTATTAAAATCCTTCGATAAACAAAACTTATTTAGTGTAAGACGTGCAATAGGAATAAAATATAGAAATGATCATCCGCACCTCATGAGAATCAGTTTTTATGTGTCTCACATAAATTTGTAAAATAATTTTGTGATTTAAATCTCTGTATTGTTATTTTTTTTTATTTTGTAAATTTCATACTGTACACTTTCACCTATATTTATTACTCCGTATTAAATACCTTCAAATAGGGTAAGTATGTGTATAGTGTTAAACAATGTATATCTATAGAGGTAGTATTTATTCCTTATTCATGTAATGTAGAAATATAATATACATATACATCAAGTTTGGAATTGTTCAAAAAAAAAAAAATACAGCAAGTTTGGAATAAAAGAAAAAATGATGGAAATGTGATTGCATTCCAATGTTAACCTGTCATTGTCTCTTGCCGGGAGCAAGCCCGTTGGACTGAGTCGGATTCGCATTTAATCCAATTTACTCAAATCATTTAATTATTAATATATTCTACTCTATTCTATTCTATACTGTATTAAATAATTATTTGTATATAATGCATTCCACGTGATCTCGACGGTGAAACAAGGCTGGCTTTCTTGAGTAGCGTGTGAATCAACTCCAGATTATATTTTGGACTTGAACATCAATGTGTTTTTTCACCCGTTATATCTCACTATGTCACTAATACTGTTCATATTGTATTCCATTATTCGGACAATGAAGACCATAGTAAATTATGTCGCGTTTGGAACATGTCAGTATGGAAGAAAATAATGGAAGAGAAAGAATATCGTTGTAAATACACTATAGGCTTAGCCGTATACGATTTCATTTATTTCAGTAGAAAACATAGCTTAGCTGAATATACAACAGTGAATTATTTCAAAAAAATTTATAACGTTTTACAAATATAGTACTTTATATATCAGCATAACTAAAGAAAAGTTGGTTGACTGGTCATATTATTATTCTTTGCTAAAATATTATAATATTATTTTATACTCCTTTTTCATATTTATGATGTTTTTAAAGTTCATTAGTTTAAATCACGTTAAGAAATGTGGGTTTTCTTAAACAAAAATAAATCTAATAATTTTGATTGTTCCCCTATAAAATGTATGGCTGTAAGAGTTTATAACATTTTTCAATCATTTTTTTCAAAGCTACTCTGTTGACACCGTATATATAATCAAAGTCCTTCTAGGGTTAGATAATTTAACAAGCCTAACTAATTTATAAAAGGGGCAGCTACACACCATCTAGTCTTCACTTCGTTTTCATAAAGAGTCTTTCGTGTAACCAAAGAGCCATTTTCAGTTTCAAGAGTAATAAATCGAAAAAAAATTAGGGTTTCACAGATCGTGATCATGAAGAAGAGACAAGTGGTAATAAAGCAAAGATCAAGAAACTCCAACACGTCGTCGTCTTGGACTACTACTTCTTCATCGGCGACCAATAACATCCGTTACGTGGAGTGTCAAAAGAATCACGCTGCTAACATCGGAGGTTATGCCGTCGACGGTTGCCGTGAGTTTATGGCCGCCGGTGATGAAGGAACCGATGATGCTTTGAGATGTGCAGCTTGTGGTTGTCACCGGAACTTTCACCGGAAGGAAGTCAATACGGAGGTTGTTTGTGAGTACTCTCCACCTAACGCTTGATTTTTCGATGATTCGACTTATTTTATATCTTTCTGTGATTTGGATTTTATCGATTGATTTTAAAGGTGAAGTGATATCTTTGTATATGGTTATTGATGTGTATATCAACAGCTCACATACTGCCCATCTGTATGTATTTTTAAAATATTGTATATACTTCTGCTTGTGATGTAAACAACAGTTGATTTATTTTACAAATTTAGCTTTTGGATCTCTTTATGAACTTCCTACAAATGAGTAATACATGTGCGATATTATGCTGATTATTAGTTATATGATTGAAAACTATAATTGTTTTGTAATTTGGGGAATGTTATTGAATTTATTTATTTCATCGTTGAGCTTAACTGTAGGATCGCAAGTCAGTATATCACAGGCAAGAAGCATATGTCAGTACATCACACGATATATGAGATAATTTGTAAAGGATGCCTCTTATTTAGTCAGTACAGAACATGGTTTTATATTTTAAGTACAACTTCCAATACATGTCTGTAGCCTTCTTTCTTCTTTTTCTTTGAATATAATTGAACCTCTCAAACAAAAAATAAAATAAAAATTGAACCTCTCATAGAAGCTTAAACGTGTGATTAAAACAATGGCTGAAACATGAAAATGTATAAGACTACATAGTTTCTTACAACGAAAATGTATATATAACATATATAAGATATTTCCCTTCAATTAAGTTTCAGGAAATGCCAATTAATTTATAAACTTCTACAATCGTCTTACATGTAATGTACAAAAATGTTGTATATATAAAATACATTCTAGAATCTTATAATATGTATAATGACAAATTAAAATGAGAGACTGATTGAGTTGGAAATTTGAGGATGTTGATGATGCACATGGTAGCTGGATAGATCAGATACTTAGCTCGGAGGTAGCTGAATCTAGTTCCATTTTTGTTGGCCTCTTGAATCTAATTCCACTAATGATATATAATAATATTACGTGTCTGTCTGAAAGCATGAATTTTCTTTGTAGAATAGTGGACGCAATCTCTTTGGTATCACAAACGGTCCACATATCAGATCATGTTTGCTTATCATCTAGGTTAATGTTTTTTGTCTAATTATTTACATCAACAGAATCGAAACAAGAGGCCGAATCAACTACAATTAAATATTAATGTAAATCTATGGCCATGGAAAAGAAAGATTTGGTTTTGTGAATAATAAATGTTGCATTGGCTGCTTTTGCCATCATCTAAGTGGCCACTCGAATTTGTTGGAAAAGACCACTGTAGTTTAATTATTATTATTATTATTATCACTTGAAATCAGATGAGTTTTATATTGCTACTTTTTTTAGCTAGAGCGTATCGTGAATCTCCAGAAATTTTGAACTGTATATGCTTTTTATATACTTGAGCAAAAAAGAATGGTAGGAATAGGATTATTAATCAAGTAAAATTTAATTAGTTAATCTGCAACATATCTTGAGAGAATTAGCATTTATACAAAGTTTATGGTCCCCGAACGACACGAATTTATAGTCAAACTAATGCTCTCTAATTTTTTTTTTCTCAGCTTACTCAAATACGTGAGGTAGTCTATTTGCAATGTGCAGTTAATAATAAACTAAGAGTTATTCTTGGGTTCACCCCCTAGGGTGAACCTCTAGGTTCACCAACCAATAGGATCCTATTATTTTATATTTGATATCTTTTAAAAAAGGAAATAAAATCTTGTTAAGTTATATTATGTTTTTTAAATAAAAATACAATAATGAAATAAAAATAAAAATATTTACAAAAACGAAAAACAATTCTTTTTAAAAAAATATTTTAAAACTAAAACACTAAATCCTAAACCCTAATCCTAAACCCTAAACCCTTGGGTAAACCATAAACCCTTTGGATAAATCTTAAAAACACTAAAATTACAATTCTTTTTTAAAAAATATTTTAAAACTAAAACAGTAAACCCTAAATCATAATCCTAAACCCTAAACCCTAATCCTAAACCCTAAACCCTTGGGTAAACCATAAACCCTTTGGATAAATCTTAAAAACACTAAAATTATTTAAACACGAAAATTATTATTATTTTTTTTAAAAGATAATATACTATTAAAGTATATATTTTAAAAGAATATTTTTCGTTTTTTAATATTTTATTTTTGTTTATTTTTTTATTTTAAAAATAATATAATTTAGCAAGATTTTATTTCTTTATTTAAAAGATATCAAATATGAAATAACACATTTCTATTGGTTGGTGAACCTAGAGGTTCACCCTAGGGGGTGAACCCAAGAAAAAGTCATAAACTAATGCTTTCTATGTTCAACCCCAAGTAAACAAACATAGAAAGGTTGAACTAGTATCATTCCCAAGTAAACATAGAAATTTTATTGCAAGACATTACATAACAGGAAGTAGGTTATGTTGGCAGAGAATTAAAGCATTATAAACTAGGATCTGTCTCTTTCTTATCTTCCGGAGACTTGTAAGTTTATGAAACTAAAACCAGAAAAAAATAAACCTTATAAACTAAAGATTTACAGAGCAGAACAAAATATCGGAACATCTTTTCAATTAGGTGGCATGCAATTGTCATGGAGAGCTTGAAGTTGAGATTGGTGTAGGCCCATAAATGGCAAATCAGTCGTCATTCAAACCCAATGATAATATTATTTTTAAAACAAGTCAAATTGGTTTTATTTGAGTGAACAATCGGCATTTTTGGTTGATAATTGGCTCTTTCGTAAATGCGCAACATTTAGAAGACCCACCCACTAATTATTATGATTATCACTAAGGAGTTACTTTATGTTAGTTGTTTTTTCTTAGCAATGGATCGATGTGCATAGCCCTAGTGCCCATTCAAAAGCTTATAAAAGGTCCATGGTAAGTGGTTTTTCTTTATATTTGTTTGTTCCTTAAAGTTACCCTTAATTCGAGATCTTCTCAAGTTCTAGTGTAGTTCAACTTCACTGACCATTTACTAGTTAAATATATGTACACAATTTTAAAAATAATAGTGGGTCATGATGAAGCAAAATAGGATATACATTGGAATTACAATGGAATTATTTATAAAATATTATCCATAGGGAAGAATAAACAAATTACATGGGCCAAAAATGAACAAAACCAGCTGTGGACCAAGACAGCGAAAAGAAACCTTTGGTTTATCTAACAATGGAGAGATGTGTTTGAGAAAATGATTGAAGTGAAGATGAGTTTTTTGATACATGGTATCGATGTGATCTCCAAAGGCCCGCCCTTAAAGCTCACATGCTTCTGTCCTTTTAATCCTTCATTCACATTCTTTTTTTCTCATCGAAAATGCTCAAAGCATGCTGCGTATCATTTAATTTATAGAAGACAAAAAGAAAGAGAGATATTAATTCATGGTAAAAATGGATTTTTGAGTTTCAGTTTACTTTTACCTAGTATAACCGGTCGCGCGTAAGAGCACTAGAAGTTGATAATAGCAGAACTAGCTGTGTATATATTTTGGTTCAAAATGTTAATACAATGTAGATAAGAACTACAGACCTGCCAAATACTGTTATAGATGCTCTGGCTGATACTGCACCACATGGTGATCTCACAACTATTGTTATAGTTGGAAATGTCCGTGGCACCAATAAGTTTTCCGTTTTAGAATCTTCAGAATTGTTAGCATCATCTGCAGCTGTTTCGCTCCAAAAACTCTTAAAAATATGTAAATATGTCTGCTGTGTACTAACCTATCAGCTTAACTTTCAAAATAATTAAAAAAAAAAACTGTCAACATAATTCTAGTTAAGCTCTAAGTAAATTTTGTGTTTTTTCTTATTCGTGTTTAGTGCATGCTCAGGTTTCTATACTCTTCAAACAGTTGTAGACATTATATCGTTGCCACGTAATCGCTGTATTTTCAGTTTGAATACCTTTTTAACAGAACATATGAAAATGAAAATGTGTAAATTCGGAAATTAGGTCAAATGGTCATAAAAAAACCTATATTTCACTGACTAACCAAAACTTCATTTTCCCTGCTATCTTTTTTCTACCTTCTTGTTTTCTAATTTTCTCTTTTTTTTTTGGGTCATTTCACAAATAAGCCAATATACATAATTATATGTTGGGAGAACCGTTCATCATGTTTACTATGATAAAGTTATTTTTTTTTGTGAGATATGATGGTTTGACTTTAACTTATGACTTTAGCTTTATTTATTTTTAAAACATTATTTCAAACCATTCATGTTATAGATTTATTTTTAAATTTAGCATTCCTAAATCATCTAGAAACCTTTCTATTTTTGTTTGTTCATTTTTATTTTTTTCTTAAAACAACTATTAAAGTGCTTATTAGAAATTGTAGTATCTTCTACAATAAAATAACATACAACTACAACAATAACAATTCCAAACTAAATCTTACAGCTCTATTTTTACATCTACATTCCAACCAATCAATAAAATTCGCTAACATTGTTTTAAATTTGAGTTATTCATTAATAAAAATCTAGAAAATTATGTAATATAGATTCAAAATTTTTGTATTAACTTTGAAAAGTAAATGGAGGAGTTTATTATACTATATATTTTTGTGCGAATGATATGATATTATACCATTTTGGCGTCATTGTATATTGGATTTTTTTTTCTTTAATTTTCTTTAAAGATAATTGGATACATTGTTGTTAATTTTCCTACATTCTATTAATGTTCCTTTAAAGTTCAACAAATGTTAATGTAGATTGACTGCTTATTTTCCTAATGATTTTTTTTTTATATTTTACACATTAAAATAATAAATTTTAGTCTCTACTATTTAATCACACTATATATTTTTTCATAACTATGAACCAAATAAGCCAATATACATAATTATATATTGGGAGAACCGTTCATCATGTTTACTATGATAAAGTTATTTTTTTTGTGAGATATGATGGTTTGACTTTAACTTATGACTTTAGCTTTATTTATTTTTAAAACATTATTTCAAACCATTCATGTTATAGATTTATTTTTAAATTTAGCATTCCTAAATCATCTAGAAACCTTTCTATTTTTGTTTGTTCATTTTTATTTTTTCTTAAAACAACTATTAAAGTGCTTATTAGAAATTGTAGTATCTTCTACAATAAAATAACATACAACTACAACAGTAACAATTCCAAACTAAATCTTACAGCTCTATTTTTACATCTACATTCCAACCAATCAATAAAATTCGCTAACATTGTTTTAAATTTGAGTTATTCATTAATAAAAATCTAGAAAATTATGTAATATAGATTCAAAATTTTTGTATTAACTTTGAAAAGTAACTGGAGGAGTTTATTATACTATATATTTTTGTGCGAATGATATGATATTATACCATTTTGGTGTCATTGTATATTTGATTTTTTTTCTTTAATTTTCTTTAAAGATAATTGGATACATTGTTGTTAATTTTCCTACATTCTATTAATGTTCCTTTAAAGTTCAACAAATGTTAATGTAGATTGACTGCTTATTTTCCTAATGATTTTTTTTTTTTATATTTTACACATTAAAATAATAAATTTTAGTCTCTACTATTTAATCACACTATATATTTTTTCATAACTATGAACCAAATAAGCCAATATACATAATTATATGTTGGGAGAACCGTTCATCATGTTTACTATGATAAAGTTATTTTTTGTGAGATATGATGGTTTGACTTTAACTTATGACTTTAGCTTTATTTATTTTTAAAACATTATTTCAAACCATTCATGTTATAGATTTATTTTTAAATTTAGCATTCCTAAATCATCTAGAAACCTTTCTATTTTTGTTTGTTCATTTTTATTTTTTTCTTAAAACAACTATTAAAGTGCTTATTAGAAATTGTAGTATCTTCTACAATAAAATAACATACAACTACAACAATAACAATTCCAAACTAAATCTTACAGCTCTATTTTTACATCTACATTCCAACCAATCAATAAAATTCGCTACCATTGTTTTAAATTTGAGTTATTCATTAATAAAAATCTAGAAAATTATGTAATATAGATTCAAAATTTTTGTATTAACTTTGAAAAGTAAATGGAGGAGTTTATTATACTATATATTTTTGTGCGAATGATATGATATTATACCATTTTGGCGTCATTGTATATTTGATTTTTTTTTCTTTAATTTTCTTTAAAGATAATTGGATACATTGTTGTTAATTTTCCTACATTCTATTAATGTTCCTTTAAAGTTCAACAAATGTTAATGTAGATTGACTGCTTATTTTCTTAATGATTTTTTTTTTATATTTTACACATTAAAATAATAAATTTTAGTCTCTACTATTTAATCACACTATATATTTTTTCATAACTATGAACCAATAGCAATTGAATATATTTAACCATTGAAGATCAAAAATTCATATCCATATATTTTAATTTTTTTAAAAAGTATAAATAATTTTATTTTTTTATTAAAATCTTCATGGAACAAAAAATACCTAGAAAATCAATGTATATTAACTATTGAGAATTCGGCCCAAAAAAACACCAACTTTGCACGAATTGCCAAAAGAAACCTAAACTTTTCGGCTGATAAAAAAAAACATAAACTTTTCATTGACTTTAAAATTAATTAACAATGTTTTCGTTGACTTGTCAATTTGACACGCCGTCAGCAAATTTAACAGAAAAAATTAACGTCGTTAATTGTTGACGTTAAGATGAAACGACGTCGTTTTAAGCGATTTGAGAATAAAAAGATGTAGATCATTGTATTTGAACCCAGGTTGATTGGAACAAATGGCAAGGTAGTTTACCACTGGGGTAGTAGCACATTCAATGTATCTACTAACACATTTACTTATATTTAGTACTCATTGAATATAAAAAAAAATCTATAAAAACTTTTAAAAAATCTTTAAAATTTCAAAAGAATGAAAAAATAAAGAATATTTTTAGAAAATTAATTTTGAAATTAAAAATAAAAAAATAAAAATTTTATTTTTCTTTAAAAAAATCAGACGGGAACTAATAAAATTTTATTTTTCTTTCAATGTATCTACTAACACATTTACTTATATTTGATACTGATTGAATATAAAAAAAATTCTATAAAAACTTTAAAAAATCTTTAAAATTTCAAAAAAATGAAAAATAAAGAATTTTTTATAAAATTATTTTTGAAATTAAAATTTTATTTTATTTTATTTTTCTTTAAGAAAATCAAAAATCTTCCAAAAATTTATTTTAGTTTTAAAATTAGTTTTATAAAAAAATTCTTTGTTTTTTCATTTTTTTTTGAAATTTTAAAGATTTTTGAAATTGTTTGTAGAATTCTTTTATATTCAATCAGTACCAAATATAAGTAAATGTGTTAATAGCTACATTGAAAGAAAAATAAAATTTTATAAGTTCTCGTCTGATTTTTTTAAAGAAAAATAAACTTTTTTAATTTTAATTTTGAAATTAATTTTATAAAAAAATTCTTTATTTTTTATTTTTTTGAAATTTTAAAGATTTTTTAAAATTTTTTATAGAGTTTTTTTTTATATTCAATCAGTACCAAATATAAGTAAATGTGTTAGTAGATACATTGAATGTGCTACTAGCCCAGTGATAAACGACCTTGCCATTGATCCAATTAACCCGGGTTTGAATCTATGCGTCTACATCTTTTTATATTCAAATCGCTTGAAAACGACGTCGTTTCATCATAACGTCAACAATTAACGTTCGAGTTAACACCTTTTTAACTGCTCATTAACGGTGTGTTAAAATGGCGAGTCAATCGGAAGTTTCTTAATAAACTAATAAAGTCAACAAAAGTTCATGTTTCTTTTGGCCAAGCTCGAGTATAGGTTTCTTTTGGCAATTCGTGCAAAGTTGGTGTTTTTTTTGGCCAAATTCTCATTATCTATTTCACATCATTACACAAAATAACATGGAGCCAGTCAACAAAGCTTTTGGGTAATGGATAGGCCTATTATTTTTAATGGGCTTTCGAAACTTGCCTCTGTTTCGGGAAAATGGGATTAACCATTGATAAACAAAACTTGGCTCGATCGGGTCAGATAAAAAAAAAAACTTGTCTCTTATTCAAAAGACTCATAAAAAGTACTATTATTATTAAATAGGTAAAATATGAGTCTCTACCAGTAATGATATTCTAACACTAGGACCAACACCAACGGGAATATTAGGTTGGAATATTATATCTTATATATTAAAAGAGAAGTCATGACTTCAATTCATGTGTGATATTTTAAAATAGACCCTCTAATAGAATTTATGACATTACATTATTCAATCATTAATAACATTCATTAGATTCACTAATAACATTTATTGGGCTTACTAGAAATTTTATTGGGCTAATAAAAATTCGATGATCCATTGGATTTATAGATATTATAAGAAAATACATGTTTAAATTAAACTTATATAATTTAATATTCTAATAGTATAAGTTAATTATTTATATATTTTTGATGTTAACTTTAAAAATTATATAGTTTATTTTTAAAAATAACAAAATCATCATTTTCTAACAATAATTAATCTATACTATATAATAATTAATCATCATTTTCGATATACACACCTTATATAATATATAACAATTTAGAAGTAAAAAAAATATTTATATAAAAATAAATGAAAACAAATATCCGCGCGGTTGCGTGGGTTGAGATCTAGTTTTCTTTAATTCTGAGATATTGTGTTAGAATTCTTTAATAGAAATACTTTAAGGTCTCGTTTTATTTACTGGAACAAATTCAAAAACACTACAATAACTAACTGAAATTGAGATATTGACACTGACAAGGTTGGTTATATAGATAGGATAACTAAGGATTACTTTTTTAATACTACATTTAGTGTAATTGCCTATTAAATAGTTTAACGAATCATAATTAGACATGATTAATATAATTAGACACGATTCACAACACTACATCAAAGTTTATTCTACTTCACAACAAGCAACACAAAGTACTACAAAATCATATAATGAGGAACTGAAAAAGGTAAATATACTTTGTGATGCTATTGACCCCAAAGTTTTGTGATAAATATTAATAAGGTTCGAAGTAGGGTGCAGAGCGCAACCTTATTTTGAATGCCACTAATATCACTACACTACCTACCATTATTTTTACCCTCTAAAGACACATCAATTAGATCTTCTTGATCGTCAACACACTGATCAACCAAGCCTTGATCATCAAATAACCATTGCTCGATCAAAGACAACGAGCCATGATCATCATTAGTAGCATTATTAGTTGCTTCCATGTCAGCGTTGGATTTGCTCTCACCTTTGAAAATACTTGTATTTGTCATCAAATTCAACTTCTCATCAACTGATCCAGATTCTGAGTTCGATGAGAACAAAGAGTGATGATCAAGAAGTCCTCCTTCACCGGTGCTTGAGCTCCGGTTGTTGGAGAGTGATGAAGTGTTAGGCATTGAAGAGGACGAGCTTGTCCAGTTCTGTAGTAACTTAGAGATGTTATCTGTGCTTGAGGCATAAGTAGCGGTGGTAGAATGATGATCATGAGGCTTTGGGGAGTCGGGATCGAGAGGGGTCGATGAAGATGGTTGGCCAAGTGATAAGGCTTGGAACAAGGCTTGTTTGGCCATGTTGATGTCTGTTTGAAGTTTTATCTCCCATTGGCCTTTGTTGATGATCCTTTTGTTGTAGCTGTTTTTGTTATCACAAGACGACATCTCTGTCATGTTGGTGCTGTCTTCGTTGGTGATACCATTTTGACGCTGCAGATTGAGTTTCTTATTGAGATGAGTGTTCCAATAGTTCTTGATATCGTTGTCGGTCCTGTGAGGTAAATATGATGATATGGCAGCCCATCTGATTTTCAAAAATGATATCGAACTAAGTTAAAAAAAAAGTTAGAAACGAAAAACTAACACACAAATGAATGTTAGGAGATAAACAAGAGATACTAGAGAGAATAATAAATATTATATTAAATTTTGTCTCACAGTTATAAAATTCTCCAACATCCATCAAAAATATGTTTACAATTTCTATAAAAATGGAATTACTATTTAAAGGAATATTTTCAAATACCTGTTACCCAAAAGAGCTTGGAGGTGGATGATAGTTTTCTTTCATGTTCAGTGAAATTTCCTCGCTTGATCCCGGGACGAAGGTAATTAGTCCATCTAAGTCTACAACTCTTTCTACACCTTAGCAAACCTGACAAATACATGTATGTTTTATATATTATAAGCTAATAAGGTTAAAGATAAAAATAAGAAAAAGAAATAAAGATCAAGACCGGTGTTTCTAGGAACACATCTCCAGCTTCCAGGGCCATGTTGTTGGATATAAGAGACCATGATTATGTCTTCTTCCGGAGTCCATGGTCCTTTCTTCACCTGCATCTTCTCACAAGAAGGTGGTCTACCCATATCTACTTGCACACGCTCTTGATCCTCCCTCTCTCTCTCTCTCTATATATATATATATATATTGGTAGGTATCGTGTGTGTGTGTGTGAAAGCTATATAAAAACTTGTTAGACTCCTATATTGGATTTTTGCAAAGAGGGTATTCTCAAAATATCACTTTGGACTTGAAGGAGTCTTTCCTTCCTTTAATTGGATCTTTCTCTTTAGCTCTTTTTGTTGTTGTTTGCTTATTACAAGGGTGATTTCACTAAAGAGAGTGGATGTTGAAGAAAAAGATAAGCGTCTAGAAGTAAGACACACATACACTTGTATTTAAACCGAATCCAGCTCTAGCGCATAAAAACCAATTTTATATTTGTTTTCTTAAAAATTTAATTGATTTGTTTCTTTACCATATGAAGTTAACATGTAAAAACAATAACTTTTTTTTTTAATGTAACCCTTAAAATGCTTTAAGTAACAAAGAAAGATACAACATCTAAAAAATTTTAGCCAAAAAAAAATCTAAAAAGTTTAATGGCAATGAAAGTTAACCGCATTAAATAAATAATCCCTCTATGTGGCTGTAGTATATGATCAAATAGAGACAGCGAGAGCATTTACTCACTTTCCTTTGCTTCTCTAAAAGGTCATCCCTTCCTTTCTATCCCTTTCTCTCTTCACTTATGTGGCGCTACTAATCAAAGGGTTGGCATTGCAATTACCAGAATTTATGTATTTACCGATTATATAGGTGAGATTTTATATGCTTAACCCTAAAGATCCACTAGCACTTTATACAAACTCAGTTCTTTCACCGATTATGATTTTTGATTTTGATACTAACCCAATGCTGTTACATTTTCATGATTATTTAACTTCATCTCTCTCTAAGACTCTAGCTCAACATTTCTCAAGAAGCTCGTTCAGATCAATTCACATATACAATGATCAGAGCAAAAGAACAGATTGTTCTCATTACGTTACAGCCAATAAACGACTCTCACGAGTCTCTTCTCACGTGCTTCTTTAACGAACTTGAAATCTTAAACCCTATAACCCACTAGAAGCTCTTCAACACTTTCTGCAAGCTCTTCAACACTTAATAATAAGGCAACCTCCAAGTGATAAGTTTTTTTCTTGGGGATGATTGGTTGGGATTTAACTAGTGACTTTAGCTTTATTTTATATCTACAACCATATAAATCACCAATCATGCTTTAAGTAGTTTTTAAAGCTAAAGTCAAAAATTTTTAAAAATGGTTGTAGGAGCCTCATTTTCTAAAGCAAAATAATACTGCTGTAGGATTGCTGTAGGAATATCTTTCTTTTTTTCATTTTTTTCTCATTTAATTCCTACAGCTACATTAGATACAGCTACATCCAAAATTTCTACAGACTAATTTCTACAGTAAAATTTCTACAGTTACAGTCGAACCAATCGCCCCCCTTATCATCTGAATAAGACTAAACCGAAAATCTCTACTTGTTACTTACTTATATAAATATAGACTTATTCCTAAGTTCATTCCCTAAAGTTTACCTGTAAATTCACCGACCAATAAAATTGTGTTATTTCATATTCAATATTTTTTTTTAAACATAATACTGTTAAGTTATATTATATTTTTAAAATACAAAGTAAAAATAATAGTTGCATAATAAAATATTTTTTAAATACTTCTAATACCTTCAACAAAAAACTAAACTTTAAATCCTAAACCGTAAATCCTTAAGTAAACTCTAAACCCTCAGATAAATCTTAAACCCTAAATTACAAATACTAAACACTAAATTTTAAGAACTTTAAATCCTTAATACTAACTTCTAAATCTTTAGATAAATTGTAAACCCTAGGATTTATAGTTTATCCACAGGTCTAGAGTTTAGTGTTTTTGATTTAGTATTTAAGATTTATCCAAAGATTTAGGATTTAGGTTTTAAGATTTAAAATTTAGAGTTTAGTGTTTTGCTGACAGGTTTCAAAATATTTAAAAAGTTAAAAAAAAACTTGCAACTATTACTATTTTTATTTAGTTTTAACTTTTTTGTTAAAAAATAATATAATTTGTCAATATTTTTTTATAAATATTAAATATGAAATAACATGATCTTATTGGTTAATACATCTACAAGTTCACCCAATGAGATGAACTCAAGAATAACTCAATATATATGTATATAATAATAATAATAATAATAATAATAATAATAATAATCAAAACAAAATAATTTGTTTGTTTGGTGTGTTTCAATTTTTTTTTAGTTTAGTTTTAATAAATCTATACTATTAAAGCAGAATCCCTATTAGGGTTCTGCCCTTACTTTTTCAAATTATTTACATTACTATGCCATTGGAATTTAGTTTTAATATCTATATTATTTATTTAAATTAAACAACAGATTTTTTCCTATATTTTTGGTCACTAATACTATCCATATTTTGTAAATAATATAATTGTAATTTTATGCAAATAATAATTTTCATTAAATTTGAATATTATTTTCCGTGCTTAGTATTATTTACCAATTAAATTTAAATATAATTTACTATGTCATTTTTACATAATACTAATATGCTAAATTTGAACCTTCAAAAATATTTTAAAACTTATCATAAAATCAAAACTTTACATTTAAAATAAACAGTAATAACTTTCATAAGTTATTACAAAAAAAAAGAAACTAATATAGTCACATCAATAAGTTTTACTTTATCTATTACCGTTATTTAATTTTTTAAATAACTTAATAAAAAATTCATCAAAGCATATGATATTACAATTTTTAAGTCTTATTATGCGTTACTTTATAAAAAATAAAAAAATATTATCTTTGTTTTTTTTTGTCAGCAAATCATCTGATATCGGATCATAGGTTAATAGCAGGTTTTCGATTTTTACAAGATTTTAATTTTTAATTATCAACTTTTTAGTAAATCTGAACCGGATTAAACAAAAATCGCTGAATATATCGGTTTAACGATAGTCTGAATAGGATATGAAAACATTTCTGAAAATTAGATATAATAGAACATTTTTTTAAACACTAATATATAAACTTTAGAATTGTTTATTTTTAATAATATTTATAAAATCACTCAAATTGTGTCAAAATCATAAAATTATACATGCGCTTTTAAAGCGCGGATCAAAATCTAGTTAAAGTTTAAAACGGAATAATACATCTTTAACATTTTTGCATCAATCAAATTTTAGTTTTATAATTTTATAATAAAAATGAATTAATGTGTTCGTTAAAACCGTTTCATATAAATAGTGGAATTCTGTCCCGGGCTTAAGCCTTTCAATCACATGGTTAGTATTTCCCTCGCTCAAACATATCACTGGACCAAACGTTGTTCGCCCCTAGTTAATCTAACCTAATTTAATTGTTTTGGGTGTTTCTAAAAAACATCTAGTGCTGGGCATTCAGATTTTCGGTTCGGGTCAGTTCGGATTATTCGGTTTTCGGGTTATTCGGGTTGGGGTGTTTAGGAATCATTTAGAAACCGAGAATTTTTCGGATCGGATCGGTTTGGTTAATGCGGGTTTGGATCGGGTTTCTATTTTTTTTATAAAACCCAAAGTGGAACTGAATTAGAAATAGTTCGGGTTTGGTTCGGGTTTAAAGCTAAAAACAAAAAAAAAGAACCGAAAAACCGAGTTAAACCCAGAAAATATTCGGGTAGTTCGGGTATTTGGATATTTTTATTCAAAAATTACATTTTATATATATTAAAATTAAAAACAATTAATATGTTTTATTATATTTACAATATTCGGGTACCCGTTCGGTTCTCGGTTCGGTCCTGATTCGGTTTCGATTTTTCGGATTTAGAGAAATAAAAACCCTTCGGGTTTTTGTAATTTTTGGTCTGGTTTCCATGTCGATTTTATTTTGGTTTGGTTCCGGTTCAGTTTTCGGGTTTCGGATAAAATGCCTATGACTGACAACACCCATGATTTCTTTTTGACTTTCGTTTAAAGATCCACGTTTACTTTTCAGAAACATTTTTAGCAAACATCATTTGATGTCTAGGCGACACATCAAATTCAGTGGTACGATAATTTATGGTTCTGTTCCTGTTTTTGTATCAATTTCTTTTAAATTTTGTAATGTTTCATTTGAAACAGTACATATTTTGGTAAAATATATAAAAAGCCGAGTAATCATCTTTGTAAGGTATTTACTGTGTTAGTCATCTCGGTTAAAAGATTTAAATCATGGTTCCTTCATTTTTACGATGAACCTAAAACCAAAACACATATTTTGATAGTTAAAATCTTGACGTATATGAAGACGTCAAAAACATATCATCTACTTCACGAAGTAAAGTCGACAACTATTCATTTTAACAGATACACATCATTTGATAGTTGCACCCAAAACTAAACACATCATTTGGTTTATAACAAAATAAATGTGCTATAGTTAAGATTATTTCTTGTAAAATTTTTTAATTGAAGTATCATCCCTACAGATAAACAACCTAGAGATACTTATGTAATTAGTTCACACTTCAAGCTAGCTGGTGTTAGCATCAGAAGAAAATCAACAATTCATATCCACGAAAAATATAACCTATCATAAACGGTTTTAATATTTTGTACGAACGATAGCTATCTATATTATCTTACATAACATCGAAGAGATGAAACATCAATTAATATCCAAACCATCTTTAGAAGCTTTGTGGAACACGTCAGATTCTA